TTTTTAGGTAGAACGTTTCACGTGTAAATACGCTCGCACGCCAAAGTTTACATGCGAATGTTTGAATGTTGTCGAGCTTTTTAGCGAATGATCCCCTGTGAAATCGTGATTTGCGCGTTGGCTTCGTTTTCCCGGCTTAATCTTTTCACACGTCGATCTAGAGTATTTGTACAAATGTTCGAATTTTGGAGAAGAATTTTTCTCAAATTTCGAAAGAATTATTTTGGATCGCAGACCTAGAATTCGCGAGTACACCCTCGATACGATTCGTTCAACTCGATCGCTTGGAAATGTTTCGTTCGTTACGTCGCGTTTCGTGTTAAATCGTTGTCTTCTGAGAAGAAAGTTTCTCCAGCCTCGAGATTTTGCTGAAATTTGTACACGATCAACATGTTCGATCACGGAAGAAGCTGAATATTCGAATATTCGTTTCTGGTGAATTCGAAACTCGAATACGTTGAACGCAGGAAGTCCTTTGAATTGATACTGTAGTCGATCGTTTGCAACGGAATGATGTTACAGGGAATTGTTTCGTTCCATCAGTCGAAGTACGTTCCTTTTTCTGTTCTCCTTTGTTTGTTCTTCAAGTCGACGACGAAACAGTGCGCGCAATGAGAATAAAACAAAAATCCTGATGAAACTGTGAATCTCGGATCCCCACCAATAATTGTATACTCGAGTACTCGAATATTCATAATCCTGAAGAACGTAGAAGGAAAAAACGAGCATTGCAACGTTGACTCCAACCACGATTACGAGAAACGCTGTTGTCGAATAGTAATGCGGTCTGATCGAGAGAGGGAAAAGGATACGAGAAGTATTCCCCCGAAAAAAAAGAGAAAAAGTAACGGAAGTAATCGCTTGATCTCGTTGATTTTTATCGATTGCGAAGAGAAAAAAAAAGATACCGAAGAAATGCTCCTTGGATATGACTGTACAGCGTATTAACTTGTCCGGAGGTACATATATCGAGAATCCTTTTTCAAATCGAAGTATTAAGGATTGCATATTGTACATAAACAAGACATATTTTCTATATAAGGGTCGTCGCTCGGTAAGGCCGATGGCTCGAAAAAATATTGCAATATTATGATAATTCTTTTAAGCGGTAGGATAGCCTTTAATCGTTTTATGTAATGTAATGATAGAAGAGGGTCTGGCAGAATAAAAGTGAAAGTTCTGTACTTAAACGTGTTTCCCGAGAGTACATTTATTCGTTTATTCGATTTATTTGTTTCTTTGTCTTCGATTATACCTATTTACAGGCATACACGCTACTTTAAAGGTAACGAAGCTTCGTTCGACATGGTCAGAACGTTTTTACGTTTGAAACACGAATAACAATAACGGATGCATGTATCAACGTAAATTCCATTTTAGTATTCATTGCCGGTCGTGAATACAATTAAATTTAATTTATAGCGCCAGAATCGGATTCTTCTTCTTCATTCCGCTGATTCTCTACTTCCTAAAATAAAAAATATGAACAATCGTCACGAATAAACTCTAATCGTACGTGTTAATGGATTTACTTACTCTTTGAATAATATCTAATAACGCGGTAGTATCATTTGACTGGAAAAATTCACTTATTTCTTGAGGGATGCAGAAGTGGTTTGGAGGCTTCGGTTGAATACCGATCTCTTCACCGATAAATCGAAATTCTGGTGTGTCAATAATCTGGTTTTGTAACTCTTCGTACGTAAAGAGCGTACCTTTGATCGATGATTCATCCAAAGGACCAAAGTCAACAATCTTTACTTTTTCTTTCTTGTAGCGAATTACATCAAACGAATCTACAATATACAAGATTGTTTTAACAATGATTCAAGTATTTTTGTACAGAAAAACACATTCGCTTACAATCATTCAATGGAAACTTGTCTTTGATACGCTCCATGAACAAGCTTTTAATATCTGTTTGAATGTTGTATTTTTCTGATTCATTGTAGCTGTGGTACTGTGATATATCTCGTTGACTGATTGCTACAAAGAAGTTAGGGTAATAATTGTAACGCGTAAGAAAATTATGGAGAATTTATAAAATGATTACCTATGAGTTCATTTTTTACCACAAAGCATCGAAATTCAGTGCAGGGATTAATGTCTCTCCATTGTTTCAATATAAGACAAAACTCCAAAGGAATGCCTCTGTTTGTGTAACTTTTAATTTTATTTAAATCCTTCGCAATTCTATCAGAACCCTTCAGTAATAAGTACACCTCTTCTAGAGTTTTGCACTTAAGAGTTTTGGTGGGTGCAATCCAAGTTGCATCCTAAATTTATTTATATATTAAAGAAGAACATAAATATGTTATAAACAGAAAAAACAAAGTATATTTACAGAAGGTGAACTCCAATTGCTCTTAACAAAAACTGCACCATATTCATCTATGACATCTTGAATTCTCTGACTGAATTCTGGAAATGTTGGTGGAAGTTCAGGCGAATACTGAAAGAAATGATATTTTTAATTTGTTTTATGATGTTATAGTAATTAATTTATATATATATGAATGTACCTCTTCACCTGTTATTGAATCTGTCCATACTTCACTTTCTACAGGCTCGTTTGTTGCCTCGACAGGTAAAAGAAATGCATCATATTCCAAATACTCGAGTACGTCATTGGGAACATTAAGAATTCTGGCTTCCAAGGAATCTTTGTGAAATTGTGGATACCATGATGTAAATGAGCATTCGGGTTTCAGATCACAGACCATATTAGTGTCTAAATCAAATCCAATATTCTTTCAAAAGTAGAAATTAAACTAACAAATTATTATTATCACAACTTAATTCAATTGTAGTGTATGTAAGTGCATATATCGTATGCAAACATACGTTTAGAAGAATTGAACAACTTAAGTACAGGTCCAAAGGAACTAAAGAGAGTATTGTGATATCAATATGAATAAAAACGTTTATTTAATAATAATATTATCGCAATTTTTAATATACTTTCACGAACGGATTTTACTTAATCCAACCAAATTTGACGAACGGATTTTACTTAATCCAACATGAATCATAAAACATGTGATGTGTTAGACATTGCGGAAAAGTTAAGAATTAGTGATTGGTAAAAGTTCTTAGAAAAGCGCGAGTTTGTTTAGCCGCACCTCCCCTAGTGGAATATCAGTGTTGATAGCATCTATAGAATAAACATAATTAAATGCTTCGTTTTAGAATAAAAAGTAACACAATGAAAATATGTATTCACATCGAAGAATTAAATTTTCCATTAATTTAAAAAAACGGATATGGTGTGTTTTAAAAATCAAAAATTAAATCCAGTTACATTGAGTCACGCAATACACTAGAATGTAAAATGGCAACTTTACGTGAGTGATGATTCGCGTCACTATTCGATTTTTCTGATCGTGTTTTTCGTTTATTGAGAACATATTCTGTTATGTTTGGATAATGTAAAAATTACTTTTAAGCAGCCAGTTTTTTCTAATGTAAAAAGTGACAAGCTGTGTTACGAAATTAACTGTTACGCTGTGATAATACATATAACCCTAGCAGTTAACCTACCGATGTCTTTTATCGAGGCTTGCCCAGCTTGTGACATAGAGTGATTTGAAGATGATGAAAGGTAGCATTATGAAGGAAATTTTATTGAACAAAGCAAATCAAAACATTAATGTACAGTGTATTATGCGTCAAGTACTAGATGTGCCGCAATCAATATTTTTAAGCGTATAAGATACGCCTTAATTATATAAACACTCTGCTTGAAATACGTGTATCAAATAGAATCATTATATTTCATCGTTATTATTATATAATAATATGGGTAAGTGGCCTATGAGTGCATTTTTTATGAAAAATTCGAATCCTTTAATTGCTATTGGATAATATTAAGTATAGATGTATTTCTGTCTTAAGTGATGGCAGGGAACGAAAATACCTCTGGATCTTCGACGGAAGATTCATTGTCCACAAGATTACAGTGGCTTCGCCAACGTCGGGAAGCACTGCAAGAGAAGTTAGCTCAAAAAAATAATGAACTTAAAAACTTATGTGTTGAAGAAGCAGAATTAACTGGTGTTTTGCCATCAGAAATTCCATTGGAGCCAGGAGAAAGCCCACCAGTATTTCGTAAAAGAGTGGGAACAGCATTTTCTTATCCACAGAATTTAATTAACAAATTACAAACAAATGAAGTTGTAGGTTTCATAATTACATCAATTTCTAGTTGCTCCGATTAAATGTATCAAAATATATCTAGACAAATATTGTTTCTTTCATACAGGAGGAATCTACCTTGGAGTTAGAACGGCAAGTTCAAATTGGTATAGTAGAAGCTGCCTTAGGTATTGTAAATGATCCCACAGAAACCAAGGCGGTACGTCGTAAACACAGGCTAGTCTATCAACAAAGTCAGCGCAAACTTCAAGAATTGGAAGCACGATTAAATTTCATAAGGCAAAGCCGTAGCAAAACTCATCAGTCTGTACAAGTTCAGCACAATGCAGTTTATAATACTCAGCCGCATTTATATACCAATGTAAAACACAGAACAAAAAAGCCTCGCCCACCGTTGGATGGCACAGGTACCACTCTTACCTATACACGATACTAAATGCTTCCTTAGATTCTCCTGTAAATGAATTTTTTCTCTAGTGAACGACGGAAATCCGAAAGCTACGAGAGGTTTACTTCAAGAAGGTGGTATAAGCTTAAGTCCACTAGGTTCGGAAGACAAATGTAGCACATACCCTGGACACGTATACGATGACCAACTCCTAGTATCTAATAGCTGTAATCACGGTCATGTAGGTGCTTACTGTTCTCCGGTATCCGATCAGCGACAAAATATCAAAATAATAGAGCACGATCATAACGATAACCAAAATATTTATATATTACCGGACCAATACCGGATGCGAACATACTCGCATGGTAGCGGCGGATCGCGCAGTCAAAATCACTATCAAGAGAGCGAGAAGTTATATCGCCCGTTGCCAAACACGTATACCGAGGAAGAAAGACAAATGCGGTATCGTCAAATTCAGCAACAGCAAATTCAAGAACAAACTCATAATTATCAATACAACGATTATAAACACTTGGATAATGACGTTCAGCGAAGATCCGGTCAAGAATATTACGACAGAGATTTTCGTACGATACATTACATGCACATGCCCGAATTTCCGGTTTACCATAAAAACAACTCTCAACCACAGACCCTGCTGAGACGGGATCGAGACTCTGCTGGAAGTAAAAATTTGCGGTACACAGATTCATCAAATGAAACGCAAATACCGACAGGTTATTGGATGCGGTACGAGGACGAAATCATCTGGTGTCCCGATGATCAGCCTATCGCGGATAGATTCGGTAGCTTAGACCGAAGGAAGCGTAACGCTGTACAACATACTGCCAGTATGGGGGCCGATATACAGCCGCGATATCGTACGGTGTCTATTGGATGCGGCAAAAACTCTTGCGTTCCGTCTCATCAAAACGCTTCTGTTCATTTGCTGCCATTATCCGAACACACCTCGACTAACAATAAAATGTTGCTTCGCACGCAATCATTAGGCAGCGTGGAGAAGTGGCATTCAAGTCATTTGCACGAACTGCATGATGGTAAGGATACGACGGATAATGTTAGTCGCAAAGGAAAAGAGAAAGAATGGTACGAAACCTCATTGGACTCGGGCACAAATCCAGGACTAGATCTCGGTTTAGTAAGTTCGCATAAGAATATTCATTATCAGTCCGCAGCGTCCGCATGCTCCAAACTACCTAGTGCTAGCAGTTCTGAGGATGGAAAGAATAATTATATGCCTCCTGTGAATCATCGTAAGACTGACATAATTACTGCCGAAAGTGAACAGCATTTACAACCGCCATCGTCGACTCGGTACGAACAAACGCGAAAGAAAGTGCTTGAAATCCCAGCCGAGTCGAAATCGTCTCAAGAGACGGGTGAAGAAACGATTCGTTTGGGATCGTCGCAGAATTGCACGATCGTTCAGGCTGGGAAATATCAGCCTTACAGGGAAGTCACGAAACCTTTCGAGATGTCTGATTTTTATAAATACTCTACCAAGTTCCGTAAGAGAAACGAAGGGAACGGACAAAATTCTTCGAGCGAAGCACAAGACGATTCTCGGGGAACGCATTACACGGGAACAGATCTTCATGGAGAGTTGGAAGCATTGAACGCTCCACAAAATGGATCGGTTGCCGGTTCGGTTCAAAAAAGGATCTATCAGCCGGTTCAACGAATGACATGTCAACCGTATCTCGCGTCATTAAGATAACTCCTTTGTTTCTGCATAGATTACGAAAAGGCTGAAGGATCGATAGGCTGGACCTATCTAGATAATTATTATAATCTTTTCCCACTGGGAAAGATTGAAATAGCGTTGATCGAATGAATCTTTGCTACGACGAACAGTCGTGTTTCAAGGAGTGTCGTGATTCAATTTGTTCAAAATGGATCGCGGCAAATTCCGTATAATCTAATACTTGCAAAACAATTAAACGAATACCCTGTTTCGTGAAATTTGATACCGCTGGCATTTAAAACATTTTTTCAAAATCGACTGCATTGATATATCGAGACCTGATTAGTGCCTTATTTTAATTGAACCCGTTAAGGAAATTGTATTAAAAAACGTATGCAATTGTTGCATAACGAGATATTAAAACGAAGTTAATATACATAGGCCACTCTGGCAATTTAATGGTTCTACGAGGAACTAAAAGACTTGCGTGCGTTGCACTCGACGTGTTTGATTCACGATCATGTTTAGCAATAAAAATTTGTATACCGTCACAAAGTGATCGTGTTTCATTGCGTTGACTGTTTCGGTTAGTAACATAGAGTATAAATGAATATTTTTATATAATTGATTTTATAGTATATTTACTGTACAGATTGGGCTAGGCGTACGCTGGCAATTTAAAATTATATCATAATTCGAGTGCTGTTTACTCGTTGGATGGATAGAAATGGTATAAAAGCAACCAAGATATTAAAGATGAATGGAATCAAATATAAAAGCAACCTTTATGCGTTTATGTATGATATACATAATAATGGAATTTAGAGGAACAGTCGCTACTTTTGGGAGAAGTATTTGATTAAATCAATCAAGCGTTTGTTATAAATATTATTCGCGTAAATGCAGACGTGGAGAATTTTTCTATCGATAGTGAAGGATATAGAATGAGATAGCTTTTTCGAGGTAAATAAAATATTAATCAAAAAGTAAATATTTTCATTTAGTTACTAAATCTAGAATAAGATGATTAAACGCTGATTCAAGAAAGCTTCGATTGTTTGGTTATTGAAGAATTTCTCAACATCCATTGTCAATTCTCTTATTGAAAATATTATATATAATTACACATTTTATTAAATAAGTTTTATAAGGACAAAAGGATTTATTATTTTGTTAACATTCTCTTCAAATATTGTCAACCTATTTTATTATATTTCTTTAATAAACATCTAATATTATTTTCGCCCAACAAATTTTATTGAATACTTTCCGCCGAATGTAGTACACGTTTCTAAGATTGAATGTTTGCCAGTGGATGCCTAAGCCCTGAACACTTTCGACAATTAAAAATACATTTAAAGGAAAAGAGCGTGACTGGTAAACTAATAACTAATAGAAAATGAATAATACATTAGTCGAGCTTTATCGTTGAAAAATAATCTTTCGAAATGTGTGTTTCATTAGATGATTATCATGTTTTTCTTTAATAAGAGTGTTCTGCACAACGTTCGCTGTAAGATATAAGCGTACATTGAATTCCTATAATTTTGAGTGCCTTGGATTCTGAGAGCCAAAGACTCGAATGACGTTTTGCAACGCTTTGGTTGAAACTATTTTGTATTTATTTAGACGAAATCTATATACGAATGTAACGAAATTGTATTTAGTTTCGTAACATATTTGTAATAGAATACTATTTTTGCTTTAAGTTTAATACATACACCGATACAAATTTACATTTCTCAATATTAAGCATTGTAAACTTAAACTACCGTCTAAATTAAGCGACAATATGAGCTTGCGAAGAGAAAAGAAATTTTGTTGATTTCAATTTTGATCACATTTTTCTTGAGAAATAATAAACAAGTTGATCCATACGCACATATATACATATATATGTATATATATATATATATTTGCAGCATCCCTATCGTTTTCATTTGAAGAAACAAACACTCGTTATATTTATAGCTTAAGAGTCGCGTATTTCTTGTGAATATAATAAACTCTTTCAGTTCCATGCGAAAGGGTAGTTACATGAGAAGAGATGATTTCAGGAATGTTGACCTCTCTTCATAGACATACAGTCTACACTTTTATTAATCTACTTCCAATAACAAAAATATATCATCGTAAGAAATGAAATCGAAACCAATATACATATCACTTAGTTTTCTTTTTTTATCATTGAGCTTGACTAATATACAAATGAATGAGTATGAACGAACTACTCGACGCTCGAGCAAGAGAATGGTCGCGATGTTACTTCCAAGATGCTTGTGCGTCCATACCGATCTTGATCACAAATTTCCAGAAAAATGAATTTTCCAAGAAATCCCATATATATTCCTCAAACATCTCCGTCGTCGAAACCGGAAACGTATTCGAAGATTAAAAACGTTCATGATTCCCAACGCACAAGACGATGTTTTTAGGTACTCTAACAGCGTTATAAATTTTCTATAGTTAATAATGATTTCAATTACGCAGGGCACGTGGATTGTTGGCAATGGTTTCGTATTCTCGCAATAGTACAGCGAAAGTATATTACGCTTAACTTATTTACCACCTTAACTCATGACTTCCTATTTTACCATTGTGATTAAAAAGACACATTACATTGGGCAGTGACCCGTCACAACACGATGTCCTATGGACCTATCTATGAACAGTATTAGAAAAAAGGAATTCAAGACATTGACTTGATAAACGTCGCGGTTAATTTATTGTTTAACCCTTCTTGGCGGTAGGGTTGACCTTTGTGACGGGAAACTGGCGGAAACATCCTTATCTCTACAGTACTGGTCTTATAACGACCGACGGCAATCATTTACATTAACGTCACCGTAGTTCGAGGACACATTAAAATTCGAAAGACGTGAGCTCATCGACGAATCAAAGAAACCTAATGTAAAAACGAACACCTGCCTGGCTGAATCGTAACAATAAGAACAACATTGTCCCACGAAGCGTTCCTCTTCTTTCGCACAGAAGGGCACGCGGCGAAGCGATTTAAAAAATAGATCACGCTGAAGCGAAGATAAAATATTTCCTAATTCCGCGAAAACACGAACCTCAATCGAAAGATTCGTCGATACGTAGGAAGCAAAAGTCAAGGTCATTTACACCTAAAATGCACGTCCTACGACTAATATCGCCCAAGCAGTTAGATTTCCAAGTTTACGATTCATGCATTCACTCGCAAACCATATAAAAATTCGAATTTCATACATTCGTCTGGTGCACTCGTAAATACACAAACGCGCAGGTTGTTTCATCGATAATAATGTTTCGCTTCTTTTTTATCCCCTCTCGTTTAAAACTAAAATAAATTAACGTTGAAGACTTGTAAATTCAAATTCATTGGCACTCGGAACACGTTCACTTCTTCACAACATGCTGAACGAAGAGATACGCCTTTAAACAGAACTAAATTGGAACTCACGAAAAGTGGCAATACCCAGTGTTGTCAGATAATATATGGAGATGTTGTTATTCTTATTGTTAACGCGTAAACACTATTTCAAACTGAACATGAATTTCATTCCGGTATCGATTAATTGACATTCACGGAAAAGTAAACGCATAATTGCATACGTCAGTTGAAAATGGAAAGAAAACCTTCTAAATAGACGTTTGCCATACACAATAATATGTATCGGGTGTCCTGAGTATTTTTATAAACAGCGTTAGCAATAACAATAAACGTCGAATAATAACAGTCCTTTATAAAATTAACAATATAAAAATTTTATAAAAAGTACAAACAACTTGCGTGCGTAGAAAGTTTGTCTAGTAAAATATCAAATAAAACGTTAACTGACTGTTCGTTAAAGGCAACACTGAGAATAGATTCTTGCAAAAGAAAGACTTTTTCTTATCGCTATGATTAATAGATCGAATTTTTATGCGCAACACATTTAACTCATTCAGACAAATTCCATTAATACCTTCAAAGATCATTCATATGAAGTAATTCTATCAAAAGAATTGATACCGTATTCTTTGGCTTTTATTTTCCTTTATACAACTCTGATTGGCCTTCATTCATTATTACAAATGATATTTGTCTTCTACAACAGGATCATTGATTCCGAATGGATAGCAATTAAAATATGTAAACATATAATAAATAATAAAATATCCAGACAAGCTGATAAAAATTTCAAAACTATTTTCAGTTTACCTATTGTTTGCAACATCAGTTTTCATTCTTGTTCCTTTTTAAATTCGGAATCAGTACATATCCGCCAGAAATTGTATTCTTTTCACCTTTAGCAATACAAACATTCAACTAAATTTTCATGCTATCACACAGTCATACTTATTACATGCTACACTCGATTTGCGCATTTATCACGGATACCTTATATTACTATATCAATTAAAAACTAACACTATACAATTTAATAATTTAAGGAATTTTTTTAAATGTTCACAGAATTGTAACAGGAGGTAGGATGAAAGTCGTTAATTTTATCCCCGATATGAATTGATAATCGAATAGATGCAACATACTGGTTATTGCAAATAATGGTTTACTATATTTTGCAATATCTAAATTGAACACTATTTCCCATGAATTTTCCTTTATTCACCAAGTCAAATTACACCAAAAGCATAATAAAAATA